TGATTGACTTGGGCGAGCTGCCTGCTGTTGGCTTTTCATTTTGGGAGATCCTTTCCTTTTTATCGGCTGTATCTCCCCAACTTGCCCGAAGCGGGTACTATTTATGCTATATTTTTAACTTACACCAGATTGGTCCCCCGGCAACCACCGGGACCTCCTTACCTGCGTAAGCTTTACTCCTTCCAATGTGCTCCCATCCACTGGTGACATGGACACCTCGTGGAGGTGGCACGCATGCACAAAAAAGTGTCTTATATAGTAGAAGGCATTACCGTAATCGTGACATGACCTTAGAATGATATTAATTGGACCTCAGGTCTTTTGGCGGTTAGCTCCCCTCGCCCTTCTCCATCTTATCCTATTCCCTCTACTGCTCTCCAGCTGCTATTGCAGCATCATGTGGAATGAATGAGACCATGCTCAGTAGGTGTTTTATATAGCCGTTGGGGTGTTATCACATTGATAGCACTGCAAAACATTGATTGCTAAAGTCATAGTTACTCGATTTTGTTAACGGTCTGTTTACTTCACGAGTTTCCCTACCACTTCATTTTGCGGACGGACACACAGACATACATACATACATACACACACACATACAGACATACAAACCGACACACAAAGTTAGCGCTTTATAAAATAGAAGGATTTCGTATCTTATTGACCCCCCCCCCCACAACGGCTTAATATACAGAGTCGCATCAAATGCTCGAATCAACGGGCAAGGAAGGGGTACCATTTCTCGGGTTCTGGGCCGTTTCTCATGGTTCTTCCTTCTTTCGTGTACCACTCACCATCCCTAGGTTAATTTGAAATGGGTTGCTTTTTCATCGTGAATTCGTCCTTAAAGCGAGAGATTACGATAAAGTGCGTATGCAGCGTGGAAGTACATGCACCATTGGAAGCAGTAGTCAGGGGCCCAAGGAAACGAAATGTTGCGTTTTTGTGGTCAAAGGTGCGCTAGTTGCAGCGTACAAGGCTTGCCATTCCTTTCTGAGCCCCGCCACGGTCTGTGCTCCGCCCCCAGCAGCAGCGCCCTTCGATTGCCAATGTGACGAGATATTCCACTTCCAGAGTGTATCCTATAACTTTTCATGGGATGCGTGATCAATCAAAGCATGATGCTTGCTGAAATGATAGAGGCTATCAGCATAACATGTGCAAACGACCTCCTAATTGGTTGCTAGCTCGTCCATTATCGGAGGTCAACGGGCAAAGAAAGGGGTCCCATTTTGCGCCTTCTTGACGGATTTCTTTGCTTTTTTCGCCACTGGGGCATTATTCAGCATCTCCACTTCCACTATGAACCCAGTCCAAACTCTTATCGTAATCCCTCGCTTTAAGACTTCTCTCGACATCGTGACTTTTATGAGAACATCTCTCCCTAGAACGTGTTTTCCGCCGTCTGCTTCTCTATTTATCCGAAGTCCACCGTGGACCTCTATTCTCAAATGCCACATCTGATCGCTCTAAATACATAGTTCAAACTGTACAGCAGTGAGTACACCTGAAATACATAGACATGCCCATTCCTGGGAAGAAACTCCACGCATTGCCTGTTTCACACCAACAATAGCTGTCAAAAGTGCCCCAAACGATTAGTGCAATCTTTTGACACCTGAAAAAAAATTTGGGCCCAATCACCAGCAGGGCTTTTGCTTGGGAAGGCCGTTGATTTCTCAATAAAAGATCAATTAAACGCTAAAAGGTACACGCCGATCTGAAAGTTTGGGGTAGGCGTGTTCACCGGAAGTGACTGTGCACATTGAATAAGAAATGCGATCGGATAAGCTTGTCTGCGCAGCAATGCTATATGGACTTTGCTGACATCCGTGTGCGATGTTGAGGCAGCTAAGCCACACCATCTTCTACAAGTGCACGTCATTTCCGATGACACGCCTACCCAACTCTCGGATTTCGAGTATATAGCACAGCGATATTTGAGACGAATTGTTCAAGTGAGAAAAATAGTGCACGAAATGCTTCGGCCAACACTTTTGACCGCTACTGTAGTCTCTTTCTTCTACGTGACAGACTTACCCACAAGATTATAAGTTCAGGAACATAGACTGTATACCGTAGCGCCTTGTCGAACTTTGCCTGTGTCCGGGGCGCGGCGAATTCTCACGTGTCATGATTGGTTCTCCGTTTTCTAGCGCCCTCTCAACTGAAAGAGAGAAGTGGTCAACAGGCCCGCGTCAGAGTCGGTGGGGTAGACCTGTGAAGGTGTTCGGCTTCGTCGCGCAAGCGGCGAGCCGGACGCTGCGACGGTGTTCGGCTTCGTCGAGCAAGCGGCGAGGCGAACGCTGCGACGTCGCTCCATTTTTGGGTTCGCTGCCCTGAACAGCGGGGGCGGCGTCGTTGATCGCTCTTCGCACTAGTGCAACTGTGAAAGCCCTGACAACCGGTGCGGCCTCTGACGCAAACGGGGGTTAATGGTGTATGCATTCTAATGTTTCCTTAACATTAATCTTGTAACTTTCCTGTGTGAAAAGCTGAAATCTCTGCGGCTGGTGGCATGGTGGATTTGCACTTGTCTGTGCAAAGCCTCCCAGCTAGCCATGTCATAACATTGTCTAGAAGGTAAGAAATGTTGAGCACAGTATGGAGGTCACGGGGAATATGAACGAAGGTCAGAAAGGGAAAAAACTGCATAATTCGGGAGACACGTCGGCTCTGGTGTTTCTGTGGGGGGGCGGCGGTGGTTGAGGGGTTGTGAGGGGCGGACTTCCTGTAGGGAGCCTGACGCGACGTTGTTCAATTGGGCGAGCGAAAGATTGACCTTCAGCGATCTAGCAGCGTACTCCCACTCTTGCAAGTATCCGGTGTTCGGTTCCCACCGATGCCTGGACCTACTGGTCGGCCGAGCGAGGTCTACGTGTAGGAGGCGAGTGATTAGATAGCAGAGAGAACGTAGCGTTGAAGAGGGCACAGCGATGAGAGTCGCATCAATGCGCATTCGGGGTCACATTTTCTCGGGTTTTGAGGCGTTTCAAATGGCTCCCTTCTCCATCACTGTCCACTGACTACCTCTACCCTTATTTCCAATGAGATAACTTCTCATCGTAAATTCTGCCTTATTTACAGGAGAAAAAGGTAAAAAGAAAAAGGGAGCTCAGTGAGATTGACTTAAGTTTATTGCTCTGGATGTTATGGTTCGCTCGGCCCCTACTGTTCCAGATCCACGATCATGGTAGGTGCCGAAAGGGGGTGCGGGTTTTCATGGGGCTCCATTGACGTAAAGGTGGACTTGGGGTGGCGGTTTCACCAGGCAGAAAGCGACTTTTTCCTCCGTGCCCGAGCAATGTCTCGCGCTGCAAAAATCGCAAAAAACCGTCACTGTTGCTGTTCCTTAAGGTGGAATTCAGCACCCCGGCGACCTTAACATCAATCGCTGCTGGAGTGATTTTCCTGGAGTGGCCGGATCCTCGTAATCGCACTTCCACCCAAGGTCAACCGTGACGTTCGCACTTTTCCAGAAATTTCCGCGACCCCTTTCCATTAGGAGGTCTCGATGCGACCCCCCACCACCCCATAAGACTCAGGAGGCCCCCAATACAACCCCTGCCTAGCCTACCCCGACCGCCACCCTCGCCATCATGGCTGTTTCATAGTGATTCTGAGACCAGTCGACACAGCCCAACTCCGCCCACTTTCCCACCAAAAAGGTGTGCGGGTGGGGGGGGGGGGGGGGGTTGGCGCATTAGCGCAATGAAACAGCAAACTCCAAACAATCTTCAATCAACGAATTACTAATTCAAGCCCTGAATGCGACCCCCCTCCCCACCCCCTCCCAAAACCAACTACAAATGCGACCCCCTCATTCGAATAGTGCGAAGCACGGTTGACCCTACTTCCACCAAGGACGCTCTATGACGACATCAAAACCGCAACACCCCGCACTCTACGTGATCATTACCTTTAGTTCAAGCTGAACTAATGTTTCTTAAGGCAGAGACAGTCCCTCAAGAAGAGAAGCACGTCCTCTATGTGAGTTGTCTCGTGCGATCCATTCACCACACAAATTCTTTCCTACCCTTCTTTTTCATCCACTATTCAAAGTTCTGCTACTATTCAGTTGCCTAAACGTGAGCTCAAAGAGCGTTTTCCTGAGCTGCAAACTCTGCAAAATGACATTCGACTTATTGATGCGCGTTTGGTAAGATAATGTTAATTTCCTTATTTTGCTCATAATCTGCAGCTCATCAGTTGCCCTAGATCGACCCATCGGGTTTTCGCAACCACAAAGTATCGCAGAACTAATTTCTTTCCTATTTGAGTTTTCTACGTCAGTCGCAAATAGCACTGCTATACAATGGAGAGAATTTCTTCGGCTACAGTTGCCATCAGAGAAGGTCCACAGAGGAGTTTAGTGAGTTTGTTATCTGTATTTGTCTTCTTCTTCTCCCTAGCGTTAGTCCCGCGCAGTCGCAGGGTCCGCTGTTTTGTCAGTCGTCGCCACTTTGCTCTGTCCAGGGCATCTTCTGCTGTGGCCGTGACTTCACTTAGGTCCTTCTTGATCACGTCTTTCCACCTCTTCTTGGGGCTCCTCGCGGTCGTCCCATCACTTGCCTGACACGCAATTGCAGCGAAAGATTTGACCTCGGCGATCTAGCATGGCTCACTCTTGGCGCGGTTGGCGGGGTACGCCCACCGACTATCTAATCACTCGCCGCAGGTCTATACGTGGCGAGTGATTAGATAGCAGAGAGAGCGTAGTGTTGAAGAGGGCACAGCGATGAGAGTCGCATCAATGCGCAAATCAACGGGCAAGGAAGGGGTCCCATTTCTCGGGTTTTGGGCCGTTCAATGGTTTCTTCTTCATCCCTGCTCCACTGACCACCTCTACACTTATTTCCAATGAGCTAACTTTCTTTTTCCATCGCAAACTTTTTGGCCTTTAAGTAATACATACTTGAATAATCCTAAGGTTTTTAACACGGTTTACTGGTCCAAACGTCGAAATCACCTTCGCGAAGTCTCGAGAAAACCGTGCGTGGATGCTGTATAGGTCCTATATTCGAGCAGATGAGGTAGAACCACTTCATTTTGCGTCTTTCTTGAACAATATCGAGAACTAGTTGCTGACATTTCAGTTGACTGTGCTTGACTACAAGGAGACCAAGCTTTTCTATCTTCAGTATATGCCACAGGGTCTTCTCACTAGGGAGACAGACTTGTCACTTCAATACATTACGGATTGGTTGAGGTGAGCCACCGACAGTCCCAACTGTTTATGCTAGCCATAGTTGGGTCCCTTCTACAAAGTGCTGTATGTCGGTTTTAGGTGAGATCACGGCTCTTTTCAGCATAGCATTCATAATGCGTAATGAGCTGGAACGGCGCCGGAATGGAATCCGATCGTTCGGTGGGGGAAATCGTGTCACAGCTACCGATTTGAGTATCACACCACTTCATGCCACACATCGTAAATCATTTGCGAAAGAACAGGTGAGTTTTCCGAGGAAAATCTAGTGTTAAATATTTTTCAACTGAAAATGACTCTCATGTTTATAACCAAAATCTTCAAGCCTCTGCTGTGACATATCCAAACCAAGAAGATCGCCGAGCCTTTGTCGTGTTTTCCCCTTCTCCTGACAAGGTTGGATCACTTGGCTGTGATAGTGATAAAGTAGTAAAGTGATTGTAGGGCAATGTAAATTGGTTCAAGTTGAATAGAGCTGGATGTCTGGATAGAGCCAAGATACAAAATGCCGTGAAGAAGCCCCTTTATTCAGGGGGGCAATAAAAAAAGACATTTTGTCTCCAGACTCAAATGGATTTAATCACACTTTGCTCAGCTCAAAGCGTGTGCTCCCAATATTAAGAGCGCATTTCATTTCATAAGAAAATCTTCATAGTGGCCATCTACGTGGACGGCATCAGAAAATTTGCCCCGGAAACATGGTGCTCTGGTCGAGCTCAATGGGGTTCTCGACTGATCGTGTACCGTTACGACGGGTTCCGAAGGGCGGGTTCCGAGGGGGTTTGCATAGTTAGAGCTAATGTCCCTAGGAAACTATCCCACGTTGAATCGATCCAAGAAATTATGTAAGAGCTTCAGGCTGAAGCAGTTACTGTAGGCCTCCCTGAGCTCGACGACGGTGACAGATGACGTCATATTCTGAAGACGGTGAGGGTAGTGAAGGCCTGCGTACTTATAGAGGGACATTTAGGGAATATTTTGCTGAGGAACTTCCGTCAACGACGGCAATCTCTGCGAAGAAAAAAAGCCGAAGTGCGACCTGGGCAAAATGTCTTTTTTGGCCCCCCCCTGTACATTACAGCTCCTACAGCTAAAAATGCACGAGGCTTGTCTTTCGTGATACGGTCATGCCTTTCACACGAATACTGT